AGGGATTGTGGCGTGGTCATCTCGCTTTCTGTTTCTCTGTCTCTCTTTGTCTTTCTGGTGAGCGCATGCAACCTATAGCAAAAACCTCTTAAAAAATAAAGTTTCAGGACCAGCAGATGGCATAATGGTTATGTCACTGGACTCCCACATGGTCAACCATGGTTCAAGTCCTGAACCCAGTGACTTAAAACTCATGCCGCGTGCATATGTGTGCATGCCCAAAATCCCCGAAGAAAACTAGAGGAGAAGGGACTGTGGTGTGGCCATGCCCTCTTGGGCGGGGTGGGGTGATGATTTCCTGCTTTCTATCTCTGTTTCTTTGACAAGTGCACGTGCCCTATAGCAAAAATCAATCTCTTAATAAACAACACCAAAAAAAAATCTGAGTTCTATTTCCAAGGCACCATGGTTTGAAAATGTCCTCCAGAAATTCACGTGTTGGGGCTTGCTGGTATTGACTGTATCGTAAAGGTATGAAGTGAAAACGTCGTTCCTTCGCGGCGTCCCAGGGTGAGGCCTAGTGGACAGCAATTGGTTCACGGTGATTGCCTTATGGAGGCAACAGTCTCGTGAGTAAATCAGTGATGTCTCTCAAGACCCAATGAGTTCTAGTGCTCATGAGAAGGGGTCAGTTTTCGCGAGAGATCAGGGCCTTTCTCCCTCTGCACATGCCCACCACCCTCTGTGCTTCTGTTGGCCATGCCATCGGCCTGGGACTTCGGACTTTCCAGCCACCAGAATTGTGAGCTTGTAGATAAATGTCTATCTTCTTGATGAAAACACCCAGGCTCAGGTATTTCTGTTAGCAACTAAGACATAGAGTTAGACAGAATTTCCCAATGCTTCATCCTGGAGTGTTACGTGGGCATGTCTATCAGAATAAACTCTCAAGATTAAAAAAAAAAAAAATCTAGACATGCTCCATCCCAGCCTGCTGAAGCAGAGGCTATGGGTCTGGGCCTGAGAGATATGTATCTGTGTTTTGTTTCATTTTTGCAAAAGAATGCACGTGCTTACTGGAGAGATACAGAGAGAGGGAAAGTGAAAAATCACTCCTTCCCCAGGAAGGAGGGCCACACCCAATCCCTCCTCTTCCATTCTCCTTCTGGGATTTTGGGTACACATGGACACAAGCCCGGCATGATTTTCAAGCTGCTGGATCCAGGACTCGAACTGTACTCGGCCATGTGAGAAGCCAATGTCTTAACCACACCTCGAACTGTACTCGGCCATGTGAGAAGCCAACGTCTTAACCACCACACCACCTGCTGACTCCAGGGGTGAATACATTTTTAAAAACTCACACAGGAGTTCTGATGTCCAGCCCTGGCTAAGAAGCAATGGTTTCATTGCCCAAAAGCCTTTATTCTATCAATACATCTGCCACACAGACCCTACTTTCCACTCTATCCCAGTTTTTCTTGCACTTTCTGCTAGGAGTCACCTGTTCTAGTTTTCTCCAGCCCATTCTGTGCCGTGACAGCTGAAAACACTTTCCAGATCAAGTTGTCTTCACCAGATGGAAACAGCAGCAAACGGCCTGGCCTCCTCCTGGCTCTGCTGGAGGAGACAGGGGTAGACTTTGCGTGGTATTTTCCATGCCTAACTTCCAAGTGGCTTTATTGCAACCATAAAATATTACATAGAGATGCCACCTGTCGCCCTTACTTACTGATTCTCTGTGGTGTGTGTGTTTAAAAAGGCCACATGGGCATTAAAAGAATAATTATCTAACTTACTCATTTCTGCTTTAAGGGTATATGTTATTCCAAGTGCTGAAGAATAAAAGTTTTAATTTTTTACTATGAAATTCACTCTCCTCTCTCATATCATTTAGAAGAGACATAAAACCTCTCACCTTTGTTTCTAACAGGAAGTTATTAGCCCTGCTAAATGAAATATCTGGAGGTCTCTTTCTTCAGATATGGCTTGATCCAGGAGCTCAAACTCAATTCTTGGCCTCTCTCTCTCCCTGCCACTCCTGTCTCCTTTCCACATGGTGGATATTAGACTCACAGCATCCCCTCCCTGCCCCACCCCAGCCATCCTCATGAATGACAGCAAAATGGCTGTAGCCCTTTTACACAGGGACTTCTAACCCCCTCCATCCACGAGAAGGGTGGTAGAGGGTCTTTTCCTCTGGCTTCTGCAGAAGAGCAGACACTTAGTCCTCCAGAATCCTCAACTCACCACCCTCCCCCACTCCAGCCTGTTCTTCTCCTGACTCTGGACCAATCACTGTGGCCTGGGGGAGTGTGGTGCTCTCATTGGTTAGGCCTGTTCACATGGCTGCTCCTGCAGCAGTTGGAGTGGGAATAATTTCACCCAGAGCCCATGGGCTGAGAGTGAAATAGGGATGGTTCCCACTAAGGAAGCCAGAGTTTCTTCACCAGGAGAAGGGAGAACAGGTTGGGCAGATACAGACCTCACGTTCCCTGCCCAGGAGGTGGTGATGGAGTGAGAATTTGAGTGGCTATAAGTTGGGCAGTGGGTTCAGGGGGGACTGGAGATGGGGAGACAGAGACCATTGGGGACATTAACATAGCTCCCCTTGAGGATGGAATGATGACCTGGGCAAGAGGTCTGTGGTGACTGGGAAGTAGTGTGGCTCAATGGTCTACACCACGGGTGAGGAATCCGTACTCTGCTGTTACCAGGTGTTACCTAACCTACCTGTGCTTAATGCCCCATTTGTAAAATGGTAGCATCTGTGTTGTCATGGATGAACCTTGAAAACAGTAGGCCAAGTGTAAAAAGCTAGTTGCAAGGCCCACATGTTATGATTCCATTTATGTGAAACGTCCAGAATAGGCAAATCTGTAGGCTTAGAAAGTTGATTACTGGGACCAGCAGGTGACGTGGTAGTTAAGGAACTGGTCACTCGCACATGGCCAACTACGGTTTGAGTCCTGGACCTGGTGGCTTGATTTTTCACTTTCCCTCTCTCTCTCTCTCTGTATCACTCTCTGGTCAAATTAAAATAAATGAATGAATAAATAAATAATTAAAAAAAATAAAGTAGATTACTTATTATCCAGGCCTGTGAAAATGAGGCCATGGGCAGAAAAAAAAATCTGAGTTCTATTTCCAAGGCACCATGGTTTGAAAATGTCCTCCAGAAATTCACGTGTTGGGGCTTGCTGGTATTGACTGTATCGTAAAGGTATGAAGTGAAAACGTCGTTCCTTCGCGGCGTCCCAGGGTGAGGCCTAGTGGACAGCAATTGGTTCACGGTGATTGCCTTATGGAGGCAACAGTCTCGTGAGTAAATCAGTGATGTCTCTCAAGACCCAATGAGTTCTAGTGCTCATGAGAAGGGGTCAGTTTTCGCGAGAGATCAGGGCCTTTCTCCCTCTGCACATGCCCACCACCCTCTGTGCTTCTGTTGGCCATGCCATCGGCCTGGGACTTCGGACTTTCCAGCCACCAGAATTGTGAGCTTGTAGATAAATGTCTATCTTCTTGATGAAAACACCCAGGCTCAGGTATTTCTGTTAGCAACTAAGACATAGAGTTAGACAGAATTTCCCAATGCTTCATCCTGGAGTGTTACGTGGGCATGTCTATCAGAATAAACTCTCAAGATAAAAAAAAAAAAAATCTAGACATGCTCCATCCCAGCCTGCTGAAGCAGAGGCTATGGGTCTGGGCCTGAGAGATATGTATCTGTGTTTTGTTTCATTTTTGCAAAAGAATGCACGTGCTTACTGGAGAGATACAGAGAGAGGGAAAGTGAAAAATCACTCCTTCCCCAGGAAGGAGGGCCACACCCAATCCCTCCTCTTCCATTCTCCTTCTGGGATTTTGGGTACACGTGGACACAAGCCCGGCATGATTTTCAAGCTGCTGGATCCAGGACTCGAACTGTACTCGGCCATGTGAGAAGCCAACGTCTTAACCACCACACCACCTGCTGACTCCAGGGGTGAATACATTTTTAAAAACTCACACAGGAGTTCTGATGTCCAGCCCTGGCTAAGAAGCAATGGTTTCATTGCCCAAAAGCCTTTATTCTATCAATACATCTGCCACACAGACCCTACTTTCCACTCTATCCCAGTTTTTCTTGCACTTTCTGCTAGGAGTCACCTGTTCTAGTTTTCTCCAGCCCATTCTGTGCCGTGACAGCTGAAAACACTTTCCAGATCAAGTTGTCTTCACCAGATGGAAACAGCAGCAAACGGCCTGGCCTCCTCCTGGCTCTGCTGGAGGAGACAGGGGTAGACTTTGCGTGGTATTTTCCATGCCTAACTTCCAAGTGGCTTTATTGCAACCATAAAATATTACATAGAGATGCCACCTGTCGCCCTTACTTACTGATTCTCTGTGGTGTGTGTGTTTAAATAAGGCCACATGGGCATTAAAAGAATAATTATCTAACTTACTCATTTCTGCTTTAAGGGTATATGTTATTCCAAGTGCTGAAGAATAAAAGTTTTAATTTTTTACTATGAAATTCACTCTCCTCTCTCATATCATTTAGAAGAGACATAAAACCTCTCACCTTTGTTTCTGACAGGAAGTTATTAGCCCTGCTAAATGAAATATCTGGAGGTCTCTTTCTTCAGATATGGCTTGATCCAGGAGCTCAAACTCAATTCTTGGCCTCTCTCTCTCCCTGCCACTCCTGTCTCCTTTCCACATGGTGGATATTAGACTCACAGCATCACCTCCCTGCCCCACCCCAGCCATCCTCATGAATGACAGCAAAATGGCTGTAGCCCTTTTACACAGGGACTTCTAACCCCCTCCATCCACGAGAAGGGTGGTAGAGGGTCTTTTCCTCTGGCTTCTGCAGAAGAGCAGACACTTAGTCCTCCAGAATCCTCAACTCACCACCCTCCCCCACTCCAGCCTGTTCTTCTCCTGACTCTGGACCAATCACTGTGGCCTGGGGGAGTGTGGTGCTCTCATTGGTTAGGCCTGTTCACATGGCTGCTCCTGCAGCAGTTGGAGTGGGAATAATTTCACCCAGAGCCCATGGGCTGAGAGTGAAATAGGGATGGTTCCCACTAAGGAAGCCAGAGTTTCTTCACCAGGAGAAGGGAGAACAGGTTGGGCAGATACAGACCTCACGTTCCCTGCCCAGGAGGTGGTGATGGAGTGAGAATTTGAGTGGCTATAAGTTGGGCAGTGGGTTCAGGGGGGACTGGAGATGGGGAGACAGAGACCATTGGGGACATTAACATAGCTCCCCTTGAGGATGGATGATGACCTGGGCAAGCGGTCTGTAGTGACTGGGAAGTAGTGTGGCTCAATGGTCTACACCACGGGTGAGGAATCCGTACTCTGCTGTTACCAGGTGTTACCTAACCTACCTGTGCTTAATGCCCCATTTGTAAAATGGTAGCATCTGTGTTGTCATGGATGAACCTTGAAAACAGTAGGCCAAGTGTAAAAAGCTAGTTGCAAGGCCCACATGTTATGATTCCATTTATGTGAAACGTCCAGAATAGGCAAATCTGTAGGCTTAGAAAGTTGATTACTGGGACCAGCAGGTGACGTGGTAGTTAAGGAACTGGTCACTCGCACATGGCCAACTACGGTTTGAGTCCTGGACCTGGTGGCTTGATTTTTCACTTTCCCTCTCTCTCTCTCTCTGTATCACTCTCTGGTCAAATTAAAATAAATGAATGAATAAATAAATAATTAAAAAAATAAAGTAGATTACTTATTATCCAGGCCTGTGAAAATGAGGCCATGGGCAGGGGGATGGTGATGGTAAGGGGCCCAGGGTTCCCTTTGGGGCAATGAAAATGTTCTAAAACCGTCATGATGATCGCCCACCCTGTGAATACACTAGGAACTAATGAAATACACCTTGAATTGGAGAATTGTGGTGTGTGAATTATATCTCAGTAAAAAAACTTTTAAGTTAGTATGTAAAATCCTTTGAATAGTGCCTGGTATATCCCCTCTGCTTGCCCCCTCAGGCCCATTGGTCCTAACTGCTTCTTAAGGTTGCAAGTCTCTGCAGATTTCACCGCCCACTAACCTTAAGTTTCCTGCATCCTGCCCGCACCTTTCTAAACAGGCCATCACTTAATTCCCTTCCATATCCCTTTTGAGTGTGCCTTTCTTTCCTGCCAGGTGCCCTGGATATACAGAAAGCAACTCTCCAGAAGAAGAGCAGAGCTTGCTGACCCACTGAAAAGGACCTGTGAAGGTTAGTTTTCTGTGTCAACTTGACTGGGCCACAGGGTGCCCAGATGTTTGGGCAAGCAGTATAGATATATCTGGGAGGATGTTTTTGGATGAGATTGACCTTCGAACTGGGAATGAAACTGATTGCTTTCCCTGATGAGGGTGGGTCACATGCCATCTCTCCAAGGCCTGAATAGAACAAAAAGACTGAGAAAGAGAGAAGTACTCCTGCCTCACTCATTACAAGCTGGGACATCGGTCTTTTCTGGCCTTTACACTTTGAAACATCAACTCTTCTTTGGTTTCAAGCTACTGGCTTTTCAGACTAGGACTACACCCACAGCTCTCCAGCCGGGTCTCCAGCTTGCTCACTGCAGACCTGGGGACTTCTCAGCCACCATAGTCGCATGAATGAATTCCTTATACATTTTTTTTTAAGAGAGGTTTTTGCTGTAGGGCACATGCACTCACCAGAAAGACAGAGAGAGACAAAGAAAGCAAGAAATCAATCCCCAGGGGAATATGGCCATGCTGCAATCTCTTCTCCTCCATTCTCCTCTAGGCATTTTTGGCATGCACGCACATGTGCCCAGCGTGAATTTAAGCCACCAGGTCTGGGAGTTGAATCGCAGTCAACTATGTGGGGGTCCAGAGAGGTAACCATTACACCATCTGCTGGTCCCATGAATTCCTTAAAATAATCTGTCCATCTAATCTATCTCCTGTAGCCTATATCTATTGGTTCTGTTTCTCTGCAGAGCTCTGACTAATACAGGACCTAAAGAAAAAATGAGTCAGTCGTGAATTTCAGGCTGAATAACTAGGAAAATGAACAAATATAGGATAGAAAAAAGGAAGTCGAGGTAAGTCGACTGCTTTGGGGAAGAGTTTTGTATGTCATTCCTCACCCACAAGCACATAGTTAGCATCCGTTTTGAGCTAGATAGAGTTCTGACCACTGGAGATAAAAGACCAGATCTGGAGGCCAGCAGGCAGCGTGGTGCTTAGGGAGCTGGACCGCCACAGGACTGGCTGCAGTTAGAGTCCCAGACCTGATGGCTTGAGAATCACACCAGGCATGTGTGTGCATGCGTGCCCAAAATCCTGAGAGGAGGAGGGAGGAAAAAGGATTGTGGCATGGCCATCCCCCCGGGGCGGGGGGGGATTTCTCTCTTTCTCTCTCACTGTCTCTCTCTCTCCAGCAAGTGCACTTGTCATATGGTAAAAAACTAAAAAAAAAAACAAAACTAGAAGCCAAATTTTAGCCTTGACTCTTTCTTCAGCCTCACCCCGAACACTGAATTAATCTTAAAACCTGTAATTTTACCTCCTCAAATTGCTTCCAAGTCCATTTTCTTAGCAGGTAGAACAGGCTTTGAAGGATAATCCTCAACTCATGGGCATCACCTTCCCTCTGCCCTTTCAGATCCACAGCAGTTTGTAATTATTTCTCTTACCGGTCTGGAGGACATGGGCATATGTGAGGAATTTGGAGATTTATTGTGTGTGAAATTAGAAAATTTGGGGTAATGATGAAGGTATTTGAGCATAAAATATATTTCATATCTCGGTATTACTTTAGGTGACAAGAAAGCGTGTTTCTAACAATATTAAGTGTTTGATGAGGGTTGAGATAGTGTCCAAAGAAAAAGCAGCTTTTTCAAGTTTTTCATAAAATGCCATTAGTCCAACCAGGACACAGAGGAAAGGGAAGATGAGACTGGGAGAGGGATGCATCCCCAGATAGGGAGGGGGAAAGACACCCATCGTGGGTGACAGCTAAGGCTGACAGTTCATACTTCATACCCATCCGGGGGAGTGGGAACCCTCAGAAAGCCACACCGAGGGACGGCTTGATCACTTTACCTCCTTGGGACCTACAGAGGCGTGACGACCACCCCTTCCATGGCAGTCCAGAGAAGGGCTCGGACTGGCGAAGGCCTTGGGTGGATGCAGTGGGCTTGTCCATTCTCCATGGTGGGAATCCAGTGGCGAGAAACATTTTCTCTCCCTTTCTCATTTTCTTCTTTTTATCTGGCTAAACAGAGGTGGGAGAAGGAATAAGTATAAGCAGCTTTGCCTTTGGCACCGATTTCTACAAACTCCTGAGCAGTGCTAGACCGTATCTGGACATGGTAAGAGAGGACTTTGAATGTTCTCAACACGAAGTAACGATAAATACTTGAGGTAACACATGCACTGGTTACCTCAGTGTGATCTCTGCGTGTGGTACACACGTATCGAAAAATTGCACTGTGCATCAGAGATATGTACAATTACTAAGTCAATTAAAAATAGTCTGGGGCTAGTCGGTGCCTGGATCCCACATGGCCAACTCTGTGGTTGGAGTCCCGGACCTGGTGGTTTGAAAAACACACCAGGCACATGTGCATGCATGCCCAATCCCAAAAGAATGAAGAAGGGATTGCAGTGTGGCAATCTCCCTGCCCCAGGGAGCGATTTCTCATGTTCCCTCTCTCTGTCTCTCTGTGCCTCTCTATGTACCATACAGCAAATTTTAAAACTTTGAAATAAATATTTTTTAAAAAGAAAATAGATTTGTCTTTTAGTTTTGTTCATATCCTTTTTTTTTTTTCCCAGAAGGGTTTTGTTGTTTCCTTAAGCCATAGATACTCATTGTACATACTTACGGGGCGTCGTGTGACGTTTTGATGCATATCTATGTCGTGTGATGACCAAAGCAGGGCACTCGCATTCCCACTGCCTCAAACAGTTAGCATTTTTTTGTGGTGAGAATACTCCCTCTTTCCTAACTATTTTGAAATACACAACACAGTCTTGCTGACCAGCATCACCCTGCTTTGTAATGAACACCAGAACTTATTTTTTCCTAACTGTAATTTCATACAAAAGCTTTAAAAATGTAAATGTAAGCAGTTATTAGTCTCTTCCAATTTTATTTTCAGTTCATGCACAGTAACTCCTTCTCGACTGCAAAGCCAAAAACATTTCAAACCCATTCTATTCCCTCTGCATTCTCATTGCCACTTCTCAAAAAGTGGCCACCATTATTCTTTACCCGATGCCACAGCCTCCACGCTGGGCTTCCTCCTTCCACACTGAAACTGGCTCTGCCCACGTGACATTCCGGTCAGTGAAATAAAAGCAGAGGTTCTTAGTCAGACTCCCAAGGAAGTTTCTTGGAATTAGGACACACAGTTAACACCATACTTTTTGTCTTCCCCCAGCTCTCGTTTCCAGCCTGGGGTTTGGTACGATGGCTAGAACTCCAGCAGCTATTGTGGACCATGAAGCAGGCACCTATGAGGATGAAAGCCCTTTGCTAAAGATGGCGACACAGAAAGGGTCTGGGTTTCTGGTGACCACTATACCAGTTCTGGGCTGCCTACCTCATGGCTTGTTTATGCACTGTTATTCTTGGTTATTATTCTAATGGCCGAAGGTACCACTCTGGATTGATACATTTAACTAATGTCTGCAAGTCTCAGAGAAGACATCATTTTCTTTAGGAGGCCTTCTCTGACCTCCCACACCCCTGTCTGAATTCCCTTTTAGGAGTTCCTCATGCCCAGAACTGTCACATCGTAGCCCTCATCCCAATACACCGTAATTACCTGTTGTTCATCTCTGTGCCCCCGAGCCTGGAGCTGCCCCACACTAGGGACCTTGTCTCTTCTGTTTATCACCTTAGGCCAGCATTAGCACAGTGTGTGACCCATTGTGAGTGCTCAATAAATACCTGAACGGATGGATCGCTGTCAATAGGACAGTCTCTGCCCCCAGGAAGCCACAGTTTAGTTGTGGGCATGAGGTGGGGTAGGGGTGAAGAATGACTCCCACATCAAGAAAGCAGTAAAAGGACAACCGTCCCAACATCCCAGTGCAATCGTTCATTAACTCCAAGAGTCGCCTTTATTTGGAGATGAACTGCCTGCGTTCAGTGCTTGCGTGTGTGGTGGTTAGATAAGTGAGAAGGAAAGTTCTAGCATTCTGGCTCGTGCGCCTTCACAGGGCTCTTCAGAAGCGTTTTGTTTTCTGCTGGATGCCCCCACAATTCCGCTCCTAGAAATCTACTCCGAAGATACAGTTTGACACATACCAGATGACGTGCCTGCAGGGTATCCACTGAAGCTAGTTTGCAATAGCCGAAGATTGTCAGTGGCCACAGCAGCCATCACAAGGGACCAGCTAAATGAACAATGGGTCAGCGACAGCCATTGAGAAGAATGACGTGGCTGTTTGTTGTGATATGGAAAAATCTCCAGGCCAGCCCCGAGGCCTACTGGTGGAGGAGAGCCAGATCCCACATGGCCAGCTGCAGTTTGAATCCCAGCCCCATCCCGTTCGAGTCCTGAATCACAGCACGGGCATGTGCAAGTGCACCCCAAATCCCACTGTGACGGAGGAAGAGAGAAATGACCTGCTGCATGACTATGCCCACCGAGGTTGGCCTTATCCCTCTTCCTTTCTCCCTGCCTCTCTCTGTCTCTCTGCTGAGCACACATTCTTTGACAAATAAAGAACCAGAGAGAGCAAAAGGGAGTGATGGGGGCAGGGGTAAGGGGGAAGAAAAGGGAAACAAGATCTCCAAGAAATAACATAGTGGGAAGAAACCAAGATGCATAACAGTTGTGTAAATAGAGTAGCTCACATCTCCGATCCACCTCTTCTTCAGCCTGGTGAACCTGAGCTGGGTTCTGATTCAGGAATCAGCAAACTATTATGGCTGAATCCAGTTGGCCTGTGTTTGCCAATAAAGTTTTATTGGAACAGCCACGCCCCTCATATACATGTCAAACTGTATCAAAATGGCAGAGGTGAAAAGGTGGGACAGAGCCAGTATGGCCTTCAGAATCTAAAATATTTACTTGCTGTCCCTCTACCAGAAACATTTGCTGACCTGGATTTAGACTGTGCTCTCTGCATCTCTAAAATAGGTCAGCGAAAACACGAGTGACTTCACGGAGATTGGGAGGATGATGGGACACGATGAACGCAACTACTCAGCATTTGTAGATGTAGTAAGTATTCTGATTTCTCTCACTGATCTTATTATTCTCCTTTTCCTCCAGTAGAAAATTTCCTGTAACTATTTAGCAATACTAATTGCTTACGAATCCAAGTAAATCATTTCAGATATTTTCATTCTTTTTTAAAATAAATAATTATTTAATTTTATCTATTATTTTTATTATTTCTTTTACGTATGCTATAGGGCACGTGTGCTAACCTGAGAGAAACAGAAAGACAGAGAGAGGGAAAATGAGAAGGCAAGCCACCAGGTCCAAGACTCGAATCACAGTCAGCCATGTGAGAGTCCAGCACCCAAACCACCACAGCACCCTCTGGCCCCAGTCATTTTAGATACAAAAAAATAGCTTCTAAATCCAGTAAATGTGCATGTGTGCGGGGGGGCGGTGGCGGTGGGAGAACCAAGGGATGGCCTTGAGTTGGGAGACAGGAAATTGTACTAATTGTACTAATATTTGTACTAATTATACTAATATCTGTTAAGCTCCTACTGTGTGTCAGGTGTGGAGATGGATGTTTTCCATACAGCATTTAACTTCCCTAGGTGAACCTCAAGATTAGAAAGAAGTGATGAATTGTTGGTGACAACCAGTAGATAAGTCCCTGAGCTAGGATTCAAACCCAGCACTGCTTAACTCCAAAGCATGTGCCTTTTTGACTACAGAGGCTATCTTTTGGCCTTTGTCTATGATGGGACAAGCTCTTGGACTACCACACACACCCCTCTGTTTCACCCAAGGTGGGCAGAGTCTATGCCTGCTGTCCAGACTGGCAACCACTTTCCCTCTTAAGAGTGCCTGAGTCTAAGCAATAAATTTTATGGTACCCCACCTGTAATATACAAGGCTCCAAATGTCAGCGCAGTGAGGGCTGAGGTCTTTATTTTGTTCACTAAGTGTATTCCGGCATCTAAAACAGAGCATGACACATAGTAGGTGGTCAATTAGTATCTGTTGAATCAATATTGAATGAGTCACGTAAAATACATGCAAGTGAGCAAAAGCCACACGGTGGGTCAAAAATTGTTCTCTTAAAATAACTGAACACACACAGGTGCCTGGCTTTTCCGTCCCTCCATGTGGTTACAGCAAGCTGCTCCTATTTTGCGTTTTGTGTTTTTACTCATGCAAATCGAACACCTGCTTCATGTGGGGCATAGCACAGTCTGGGCGCCCCAGATGGCTGATAAAGTGGGCATTGTTCAAGGCCTCCTAAAGGATGGGACGTTAGGGGGACTCTTCATGCAGGATCAGAAATGAAACTCATCAAATCAAACTCCGGGGGGCTTTGCTGAAGAAAAGGGAGGTAGGTTCCGTGCTCAGCACAGCCCTGACGTGAGGGCCGGCTGCTGATCCATCCCTTTTATGCACGCAGTGTGTCGTGGGCCACTTTCAGCTGCAGAAGAAAGGCTGACCTTTGGAGAGGGCTATAAAAAGACAGCCGAATTCACCCCTCCTTTCCTCAGCGCGCAGTAACAAAGGAGGGAAAGTGAGGGGCTGCTGTGTTCAAGTGCCAGATGCACAAAGGTGACTGGCATTTTGTCAGGCCAATGGCCAGAGCACAGAGTGACAAATAAGGTGCTTAGGCTAAGACATTCTGAAACGGCCCGGTGACAACCTGACAGCACAGCTGTCAGCAGAGAGCGGCATCTTGTTCAGGCCAGCCGTGCAGCACCGTCACGCAGCCAGGGTGGTTTAGAACGGCTGCTCAAGAGCCTTCGCAGAAAGGAGTCCATGACCACTGGCAATGCTAACTTATTTATTTTTGCTCAAGGTTATCTTTTTTAAAAAAATTACTTTTTATTTACATTTAATCACTGTGTATCTTTACAGTGTACAACATAATTTTTCCCAGCATGAATACGGTGCATATTAGTCAAATCAAAGGCATTACTATGTATACGTTATCAACAGATAACATTTCATTTTTTTGTCTATTAAATATTTTAACTTTTTTTTAAACTTATTTCATGAGAGACGAGAGAGAGAGTGAGAGAGAGAGAAGCACTCTTAGTGAGGTCTCATGTTGTAATCCCCTTCCTGGATCCTGGGCACCTGCCCAAGTTTACAGGTCAGCTTCAACTGGGGAACAGAACCCACCATCTCCCATATGAATCCAGCATCACTTGAACAGCATGTTACTGCTGCACCGAGCCAGTCTGGTGTTAGCTTTTGGGGATTTAGAAAGCACATGCACATTGCTGATGGGTTCAAGCGGGTGTTATACCCTCCAGTGAGAGCAACAGCAGCTGACTCAAACGTTCCAAAGGCTGAGTATTACTGAAGGTTTCAGAGTGAGTAAGAGACCGGCTCATTCTCCTTGTACCGTTCCGTCTGTAGATGCAGTGCAGGGAGGGCCTAAGGCCAGTATGGATGTTGAAAACAACATATTGTCAAAGAGACTCTTGAGGGCCAGCAGTGACGCAGCACGAACACAGACCTCTGGGATGTTGACCCACATGGGAAGGTCCAGGATTCACACCCCAATGCCTCCCTGGGCATACCAGGCGTGAGCGTGCATGCCTGTAATCTGAGATGGCTGATCTGGGGATAGATCCCAGTGTGGGGACCCTATTGGAGGTCTCTGTCTTTATCTCTCACTTTCAGGGAAGAAATAAGCAAACTTAAAAAAGAAATACTTTTGAAACAATCCCTTAAGTTCCCTGGGAAGTACAGTGTCGTGCTGCCTCCCAGGAACTCAGTACGCCTCGTTTATTTTCTCATGGCCAGAGCATGTCACTGTGTTTCTGTGCTTGTACTCTGTAAGAACTTGCTTTTTCTAGGGACCATGTTGAAGAAAAACAAAATTCTGTAGACTTTAGTCACAGCAGAGGGAACTGGATAGGCTGAAAGACAACTGCAGATTCCAGCTCCCTTCTCGCACACAGTGTGAGGCATGTGCACACTACTTGTTCAATGGTATAGGCTACTCTTGTCAGGTTTACATCTCAACTTTCATATTCTCTCTCTCTCTCTTTCTCCTGAAATACCTTTTTTTTTTTTTTTTTAGAGAGAGATTTTTGCAATAGGGCACATGTGCTTGCTGGAGAGACAGAGAGACAGAAAGCGAGAAATCATTCCCCACATGGGATAGCTATGCCACAATCCCTTCTTCATTCTCTTCTCGGGATCTTGGGCATGCAGCCACATGCACCCAGTGTTTTTTAAGCCACTGGGTCCAGGCCTCAAACCATGGCTGGCTATGTGGGAGTCCAGCGACAACCATTACACCATCTGTTGGTCCCTTCTCCTGAAATATCTTACTGTAACGTACTCACCTATTTTCAGACCACAGTTGACTGTGAGTAACTAAATGCAGAAAGTAAAACTGCAAATGAGTGGGCACTAATGTAAATGTTATTTAAGCCTTTAAGTTTTGGGATGTTTGTTATGCAGCAAAAGCTAACTGATACTCTCCCATAGGATCAACTTGGATCACCCTCTCTCTCTGGGCCACATGATGAGTAGGCACACTGTACTCTCATTGGATGGGCTTAGGTTTTGTGTCCACTCCTAGAGTTGGGCATCAGGGCCAGTGCCACCCAAATCAAATGAACTGAAAGCTGGGCAGGGCTAAAGAAAAATCAGGGTACTGTCACCAGAAGAAGGGAGGATAGATGCCGAAGAGGATAAAATAAGACACATTTGCTAGAGTGTTCTAAATACAACTGTCCTCATACTAGGAATCGATGGGCGCTTATGTCACAGCCTCAATTCTATTGATCACT